TGCCAGACCAAAACATTTAACTCAAGATGACAGTTGACTGATTAAAAAGCAGGGAGTACGGACTAGTAAAAATGGTATTGATTTTATAAAACAGGATTAGAGGAACTCTTCATCTGGTTCACCACCGCCGTCACCCTCAAATTCTTATTCCAAGATCTCAACGTCAACTACATTTTCCCGGAAGATCATAATCAAACATTTGTGGAAATAGTTGCATAGGCAACAATCCAAACCCTGTGCTGAACCGTCTTTCCTGGTTTCTTCAGGTAAGGTCGGTTATGCATGACTCTGCTGAATCAACATCCGAATCCAAATCCTGTCCTGAATCATCTTCCCGGGTTTCCTCAGGTAAGGGAGGGTGTGTACAACTCAAAGCCTTCAACACAAACTTTTCAGGGTCCTCACGGATTTCAATTCCAAATGAAGATAACGGGCGTCCAACACCTTGAACACGTTCCACACTGAAATATAGCAACGAAATGCATAAATTCAAACAGTTTGCATATATTCTTGAATTTTTGTTATTCATGTACCTTCATAAGACCAAATGATTCAATATTTGACCAAAACCAAAAGAATATACGGCAACAATGATTAAACAGATAATTAAAACCAAAAATACGAATTAAAATGTTGAAATAGTTACATGTATATAAGGTAAACAGTTTCTATCACATAAAAATGCAGATGGCATAACAAGAAGCATATTTACATAAACACAACATTCATAAAAAAAAAAAATGATATGATGAAAAGGTATTCTTTATCTTTTTTGGAACAGTAACCCCTTTCCCGCACCCTCAAATAAAACCTAGAGGGTTGATCGCCGATTCTTGTCACCAAAATCCCGTGGATATCAGGTAAGCAAGAGAGGTGCAAAAATCTAATGCAGCATTTGGACCACTAAAAGGCTAAAACTTTCAAGTCCTCAGTTAAATGAATATAAACAACTAATATTGTATAAGTGCATGTCAATACCATATGTAAAATAATCCATCCCCTTGGGGTGGTGGGGGTGCTTGGACTCTACCCCGCAGCTCAATCTGCAATATTCCACCAATGCAAAGAACAGGTTCTGGAAGCGTAAAAGGCTGCAAATCAGCTTCCTGTTAATAGATAAAATATTAGTACTGTCACTGGTTCTGAGAGAATTATCAATTTGCAGATCAAAAACAGGGAAAAAGAATAAGGAACTCATTTCAAGAAAAACAAAACTTAATAATAGTGTCAAAGGGGGGGGGGGGGGTTGTTTAAACTTGACAAGGAGAACCTGTCAGGTTACAATCAAAAGTGGAAAGGAACCTTTCACAACCAACTGAGAAATAGTAATCCATTTCAATCAGTGCTGGGAAATACAAGATTTCATTGTCTTAATTTTCATATTTAATAGCACAACAAAAAGATGAAGTCTATTAAGTGACATGAAAAAAACCAATTGAGCTACTTGAACCCACCTGAACCATTGGAAACTCATCTGAAGTGTAAGTCCACACATAATCGTCACGCAGAGAATGACCCATTCGGAATCGTACAGATCTTGCAGAATATATAGGCGAACCCGGCTGGAAATTAGCTGGACCCAAAATGGAAGGAAATTTAGAAGGTAGATAAAAAAGTGAAAAAGTAGCTGAACTTTCAAAAATTTAGAACAGTTACCTTGGAAAGGTTTTATTCTGATTTCAGTAATAACACACAAATCAGCTACCAATTTGTAAGTTAGCGTTTCAGGGACTGCAGGGTTAATTTGACCTTCACTTGACCAGTATGACCATGGCACTCCATTGAATTCTTCCAAAGTGTTTTCTATGGCTTCCAATGGATGAAGATGAGTGCTGGAAGCCTCAATTGGTTCACTGATGCAGTGTTCGCTTTCAGCAGAAGACTTACAACCTCGAGCCAGAAAGGCATAGACTCTGTGCTCTTTCTTCAAAGTTTCCCATTCCATGTTACTAGAGCCACCTTCCACCCAAGGGTTTCTTGCGATGCAGCAATGTTCAACAACATGATCAACTCTAGATAATTGAGGAAACTTACTCAAGCACAGATTCTTGGCAAGACGATCATCAATCGCTGGAAACCATATACAACCATGTTATTAATTCATTGCTGTAAATAGTCAAACATATAACCATAAAAGAACTATGGTGCTTATGACCATTACTCTTCTACCAGTGGCAAAAGGCAATTATATAATCCATAATCCAAGCTAAAATTTCTGAAATTCCATGAAAGAGCAATCAAAGGAGGATTGAAACTTTGTTATTTGGCTTATGAAGAACCGTTACTTTCAAAACACACCACAAATATAATGTCCTCAACGATGGAAAACAGCACAACAGATTACAATGAGTTTCATGGGAACAAAAATACCAACTAATGTAATATCTCAGCAACGAAACATCATACCCAGATGGAACTTTTCCACAAAATTGATGAACAAAACAAGAATTGAGTCTCTGAATACATCAAGTTGTTTCAACTCACCCCAATTTAACCAATCGGGGAAGACAGAAGAGACACTATCAATATAAGATAGATCGTCCAAACATGTCATAATCTTGAGTGACACGTCGCGATTAAAGTAGTTCGAGATATCCAGACCAGTTTCCATTCTTACAAACGATGCCTACCAACTCGATCAAAATTCTTCTTCTAAACTTGAATTCCTGACACAGTATCAAAACTTTATTTATCAAAACTTCAAAACAAGCAAAGTTGAACAAAATTAAAAAAAAAATCCAAACCCAAAATGTAACAGACAAAAAAAAATCATGGGGTATTCGAAATTAAAATAGAAACGCAGCAAAATTGCTGAATTCTGCAGAGGAAGAGATTAAAACAACGAATTGGGTAATGGAAAAGGGGAAAAAGAAGGAAAAGAAATACGGAAAGGAGAGAGCTTTGGAGGAGGAAAAGGAGAAGGGAAGGGAAAGGAATCAGAGTTAAGAATTTTATTACCTCGTCGGAAACCCTAGAGGGAGAGGATCGACGAATAAAGAAAGCTGATGAGAATGGAGATGGACAAGGTTATCTTCTAATTTTGCAATTATATATTACTACTCTTGGGTTCACCAGATATTAGATTTGTTAATAAACACTTTATTTATTTACAAAAAAATGTGTGGCGTGACACCGATATTTTGCCTTTATTATTTTTATTATTTTTTTCTAATTTGCTTTTGCGTTACAGTAAG